CGGATTCCTCGTCTCCCCAAGGGCACTGTAGGCTGAGTATCTTGATGGGCCTTAACTTTCAGATGATTGGCAACCCTAAGGAAGGAAGCCTATATACCCCCCTCAAGTCCATTCCCGTCACCAACAGCAGCAGGCGCCTCAGCAGGCTTGCGAGGTCAGGTCAAAACTGCCGTTTGGCGGGATGGCTACGGGTGAGCCTGTTCAACCGGCTTAGCCGGTGTACAGGTTCGAGGTTCGAGTCCCAGCTTGAGCACCAGAGATGCAGCCCTCAGTTCACCCCCGGAGGGGGGGGGGGGGGGGGTGAACTCTTTTGGTTTCTGGTAACTCTAGCGTTTCCCCCCCTCACGAGATTAGCAGTTGTATCACCTACGTATGATATGCCACCATCTGCCATACTATGTATGGGTTAGATGATAGGTAGAGTGAGTGTTCTAGCATGGTCAAGTCTCCCGCCCGAGGTCCTCCTCCTTCCGCTGTTTGGTTCATTGTAGTTAGATGGGTGTTTTGTTATCCAAAGCGAAGGAGTACTCCTTTGCGGTCATGTGATCAAGTCACCTGTATGTAAATCGGTTGCTCTTCTCTGCGTGACACTTTACATGCCATGTGAGTCCCTCCTCACAACTCACTGCCTCCTGCCTTCAATCCGAGACCGGTCTTGACATATGAGGTCGAGGGTATGCCGATGCTACGAAACACATCAAGTCTGCTACCGATAGCATAAGAATGGAACAGGATGCTTGTGAAGTATCAACTCGAGATGCGCCTTCCATAAGGTGTAAGTGAGCTGACTGCCAGCAGAGCCTCAGACTTCAGTACCTCACAAGAAATATCTTGGCGCTGGCGGAGCAGTCATGCTAGTTGCGAATGGCTTCAATGGCAAAAAAAGATATTTGGGCCTGGCGAGCTCGGAAACTCGGATCGCAATGGCCAGCAAACGACGCGAAGACACAGTCATAACATACCGGTTTCAGGAGCTTCAGCGACCAAAACTTGCAACGAAGCATTCGCCTTCCTCTCAAAAGATGTCGGGATGATCGACGGCTCAGGATCGCCTCGGCTACGGACACAACCCCCTCTGCTTTCCCACTCGCTTGCCCGAAAACGGCCGACAGCGCCAAGAGTTCTCGCATCGAAAGCAACAACCCAAAGCTTCGGCTCGTCTTCTTGCAGCAGCTTCAACAGCGATGTGTCAATAATGCGCACAGCCAATGATACAGTCAAAGCTGTCCGGTTTACCAAAGATAGGCTGCGGCGTACGTCTGTTCGTGTGAGTCCGATAGCACCATCGTCCAATGTCCGATTGAGTTTGAGCCAAATCCGCGCTGGACCCCTTTTTGGTTCCCTTTTCTCGAGAAACGCCTCGTCCTTGGGATTCAGGTGAGTCTTGAGCCCACGGTGTCGACGAGCGAATAATGTTACAAGGAAATTGTGTTTGAGACTTGTCCATCTGCTACAGCATGCTTCTCGCCAACTTTTGTTTCCGCGCTCTACCTTGGATATGGGCGCATACGCAGCTCAGAAAAAAAGAGAGTAATAATCCGATAATTTGGAAACACGACGAGACGTTGAAGCTTAGCGTCGTCACGCATCTCACGTCGCGTTACCTTAGTAGGCCAGCGACAGATTCGAAAGGGCCGGCCACAGTTTTGGGTTTGAGCCGGACCCGAGGCCATCCGGCGGCTATCGACCGTGCTAATTCCTGGTGTGGTGGTGTACGGGGTATTGTTTCCGTGATCGCTGGTGCTCTGGACTCTGGGGGGTAATGTGCCACGGATCGTGAAGTTGTGGTCCGTTGGTACATTAGATTGACCGTTCCTGGATGACGACGAAATTGGACGTGATGATAATCGGCGGCGCTTTCCCTTAAGGGAGAGTGAATTGCAAAAAAGGGATTGGGTTGGACTTTGGGGGGGGGGATCCAAGGATGGGGAAACCTGGCAAAGGCAACGTCATGTTGCAATTTCCGGATCCCTAGGTGCATAGAGCCATCTTCTCATTTGCCCACTGCCCATTGTATCCGTACACGATGTACGGAGTACATTCCTAATAACTCTCTTTGCCGCGGCTAAGAAAGTACCTACGTTTAAAGGTGATGCTTGTTGAGAAAAAGAGTTGACCTAAGCGAACGGGCGAATCAGCAACGGGATGCCATCTGAAACGGCGTCCGATGGTTCGTCAGATGGCCGAGCCGGTGGGGGCCAAGAAAGACGAGAAAGAGGAAGGAGGGCCTTGCCGCCTTTCTCAGAGGCACAGAGATAGGACAGAGACAGAGACAGAGACAGAGAGGTTCGCAGCCGATACGTACTGGAGAGTGGAATAGTGCACGTGAGTGGGACAATGGCTGGGGTGACTAAGAGAATCTCATCCAGACGATTGGCGGATGATGCACGTCTGGGTTGGCCGCTGCAAGGTACCCGATGGTGGCACTAGCTTTTTCGGGACTGGATGAACAGGGGCAGCCGATGGGATCCACCGAAAAAGGAATGGGTCAGCTCAATTGGCAGGAAGGGGGGAAAAACTTGTGCGACTCTGAGGTGAGGAAGGCGCACGTTGGAAATCTCCTGGAAAGAAAGATTGGCTGGCGCGCGCCACCTGTCTCATTTCCCAGGCGCGGATTTCCAGCCGTTGGTCTTTCCACTTCTGGTCTCTAAGTACCTTGTTATTGAAGAAAGTTAATTCTTTTAAAGTTATAAGTATAAGAATATAGTTTTAATAAAATAGTATAGTACTTACTTAGTACTTAAATTAAAATACTTTTTTAAGTTTATTATAAAAGAAAGATAATTATATTACTAACTACTTATTATTAAAGTCTATAAGTAGCGCTATAGCTTTAATTACTATAGTTTTAATTACTATAACTTTAATTATAATAGCTTTGCTTATAATAAGTAAAAAGTCTAATTATAAGTCCTTTAAAAGCCTTTTTTTAAGAGCTATAAGAGCCTCTAAGTATATTAAGTTAAAATACTTACTAAGATATTAATAACTAAACTAACTTTACGATAATAACTTTAATAAAAAACTTAATAAATAATACTAAAAACCTCGCTAACGTTAAGTACGATTTATAAAATATAATAATATAACTATAGAGTATTATTAATATATTTTATATTAAAAAAAGTATTATTAATATTAATAAGATAGATAGGGCCGTATTAATATAATACTTCGGCTTCTTTTTATAACTTAAGGATAATTATTTTAAATAGTATTAAAAGTTTATTAAAAAGCTCTTTTAAATACTTTAGTATATTTATTATTATTTTTATAATAATAAGACTTCTAGTACTTATATATAAGAATAAGTTATTTATTTTTAAATAATAATATTAGTTTATTAATAAGCTATTAAAATTGCGATTTTAATAATCCCTTAATAAGGGAGAGGGTAGAATAGAGGAAAGGATAAGTAATTTATAAAAAGGGTTGAGGTTAAATAGTGCGGAATTCGAGGGCAGGGTAGCGTCTATATATACTGCGGTAATCCTCTCCTCTAGTAATGTAAAACGATGGAGTTAAACAGTGCCACTTCTGGTCTCATCGCGACTTTTGTCGTTTCTCTCTCTTTTTCTGGGTACTGGAACTGGATTGTCTCTCCCTGCCAGTGTCTGTCTGACCTCGCCCCTCTAAATGCCCCCCGTCGACGCGACAAGCCTCCCTGCTGCTTCTCTGCTTCTGGGGGCGGTCACGTTTGCCCGTTTCTTTCTCAAAGGCTCCAGGGCCTCCTCTCCCACCTTCCAGGGCCCCCGGCACCCTCGCTCGGTGGAATCGTGGAGGCATCGGAGAGGGACCGCTGCAACTGGAGTCTGTATTCGTACGAGTGGACGGACTTGTTGTTGTTGCTGTTGACACTTGACAGTGGCGGTCAGCGAGGCTGGGTTGAGGTCGTGAGAATACTGCGGTGTCACCAAGTTTGCGCCGAGAGAGAAGAAACCAAAGGTACGAAATACTTTGGGCGCATAAACGACCACCAGTTCATCCCCTTTTTCTTTCTCATTGCCGTCCACTTGAGACGCCGCACGAGGGCCAGTGTCACCCTCTCCAAACACTTCCAAACAGGAGCAGGAATCAACCTGGTGGGAACAAGGGCAAGCCGCTACACCACCAGTCAACCACAACCGCGTCCACTCTTCGCCCAACATGATCCATTGGGGGCTGCCGATGCTGGCTAGCATCAACACCCCCAGGCACGGTCTGTTCACCGACCAAGCAAGCGACCGCCGGCCACTGGCTGCTCTGGAAAGCCTCTGATCCGAATGGAAGCGCGCTCCCCTCCAAGCCGGGGTCATCGTGGCTGGCCCTGTCGGCCAAGCGACTCCAAGTGGTTGCTGTCCAGGCAAATGAAATTAAAAGGAGGATCCTTCCGAATCCGTGCTGAGCGCACTTGGGAACAACCATCAGCCATCATCTCTGTCTCCGTCTCTCTCTCTCTGTCTCTCGCCCAGTCTAGGTGTCCATCTGTTGGATTGACAGACTGTTAGTGTTGCCCGTAGTGTTAGTGTTGGTGTTAGTAACGCTTTCCCAATCCCAATCCCAGTCCAGGGCTGCCCCGTGCCACCCTTCGCCTGTCGCCGACTCATCCCCATGTCCTACTGCCCCCCGTCTCGCGACTCAACTCCCCGTCTCTCCCACTCTTTCTCTCCACTTCATCTCCAGTCTTTTCGCCGTCCCTCGCTCTGCCTCTGTCTTTCTCCCGCAACGCTCTTTGCATCGTCGCTCGCTTTTAGGTCAGGCTCCTCCAGCCCAGTCACTCTTTTACACCTTCCCGTCACGATCCCACGTCCAGAGTACTCGTCTCTCTCTCGCTCCGTCGATACTCTCGTTGTTCGTCGTCGATTCACTCGTTCCGCGTCGACTTTGCGCTCACTCTCAACATACGACCACCATTGAGTCTATTGTCCTCCGGAAATTTCCAGGAAAGACTCCAATCGACCGACTACCTGATCGAACCATTTTCAACCACCACTGAACCCCCCGGCAAATACTCTATCGCAATGCATATCCGCTCACTCGCCTCTGTGGCCTTCGTGGCCTTCGCCGCCCAGGCTTTCGCGCAACAGCAGACCAAGGTCTTCAAGCGCAGCATCACCGCCGGAAGAGATTTGGGTCTTATGCGCCGTGCCGACGACGGTTACCAGCCCGCCGACGAAGTCTGCAACAAGGGTGGTAACACCTGCGCTGAGGCTTGCGGAACCGGCTATGAGCAATGCAAGTCCACCGACCAGGCCGTCCACTGCTTCAACCCGGCCGCCGGCGAGACTTGCTGCTCAACCACCACCGGAAGTGAGTCGACTTTAGTTCTTCTACTACAGCCTGCATCCTGAATACTAACACCTACCATCAGACTCCTGCTTGTCATCTTTCTACTGCACCCACGGCAGCAACAGCGACACGACCTGCTGCCCCAACGGCATGAACCTCGCCGACTGCGCCGCAAAGCACGGCGTTAGCGGCCTCACCTCTGACCCACCCGTCGTCGCGAGCACTTCCGTTCCTCCCACCACCAGCAAGACCACCCCTCCCCCGACCACCAGCTCAACGCCGGCGCCGCCCACCACCACGTCTTCCGTCGTCGTCACCACCTCCAGCACTCCCGCCCCTTCGTCCACCCTCGCCCCCTCCACGTCTGCAGTGCCCAGCACTACCGAGGTGACCACCGAGGTCTCATCTACCTTTGTTCCCAGCGCCGGTACCAGCACAGCCTTCGCCTCCAGCAACGGCACCACCCTGGCCACGACATCGACTCGCTCTAGCGCGAGGAGTACCGTCCTCCCCTCGGCGGCGACCACCTCGGCATCCGCCCCCAACCAAAACGCCGGAAGCAGCAACGGGCCCGCCGGCATGGCGGTCCTCCTCGGTGCCGCCTTCGTCGCTGCGCTGCTCTAATCCTTTACGACTGGCCCAATTGGAAGCGCTGACCTGGCATTGACTCTAATATGCTGCCTCAAGCAATCTCATCTGTCAATACCAGCGTCAGTGTGCCATGTGTCACGAGTATAATGAAAACGAAAGCAGCCGGTGGAAGGCAGTGGATCCACGTGCTCTGTTGGGATGTTTAATGTTGGCCGGAATTTTTTGCTGATGCTTATGATTCCCCTGATCTACTTGATATGTACGGAGCGGCTTGATGAACCTTTGATGTGTTTTTTTTGCAATGGTGTTTCTGGAGAGACGAAAGAAAAAGATGGACGGTTTGGAGATTTGTACTCGATCAGCGCCTTATATCCTGTTTTTGTGTTTTGTGAACAGCGTGCCTTACTTTGCGTTGTTCACCCTGTACTTACGATTCCCCCCCTTTTTTTTTCCATTTTGGGCGAGCTTGGGAGACGCATATAATATCCCGAGCTCGATGAAAGACCCCAAAAAAAGTATCATAAACCTTAATATCCTTCTGGGACAACACAATAACATCACAACATTGCACGCAACTGACTTGGCTTTCTATCCCTTGACTTGCTCTTGAAGTGTCTTTTTTTTTTGGAGAATATCTACGTACGATATCGACGCCGTGCGGCATGGTTTGCCAAAAGCCTGTAGGTTGCGTAGCAAAATTCGATAATCCCCCTCCCTCCCCTCCCTCTTTTCAAACCGCGCCGTGTTGGAAAGACGAGATCCGGCCGACGACTCGGGGTCGTGGAAAATCGGTGCCGGCGGTGCCGGCGCTGTTTGCGTTATTCGCTCGATCTCCCGTTCCGATACCAGTAGGTACCTAGCAACACAGAGCCTGGCTGTGCCACTTCCTGATAGCGAGGCCCGGTTGAAAGTTGAGGTCAACGCCGCCGCCGCCGGCCGGCCGGGCTGGTAGGGGGCCGGGCCCGAGGTTTCGGTACCGGAGCCGGCGGGAGGTGAATTGAAATTTCTCAATCGGCCGGACCCCCGGGAATTGAAATCACGAGGGGGGGATGTGGAGTGCCGGCTTATACGTCCCTACCTGCGTTACTTTACAAATACGCGCTCCCCCGCCCCCCGTTCCCCCGGATCCGTCGTGTGTGGTTGGCGCTTGTGTTCGGCCTTTGGGACCGACCTTGAGATATGGTTCGCATGCAGCATGCAACGGCGTCCCGACGCAAGGGGGGGACGGAACCGATGGGAGCGACGGGACCACGGCTTGGCAGCTAGCATTTGTTGTGGCTTTCCGATCAACGGCCGCCGCCCTTTGACGACTTTGGACTAGACTCTACGCAAATGAGCAACCGTGTGATATATACCATGAGAAAAATGCTCGGAAACCTATCACATCAATGTTCAGAGGTGTCGTCGGATACGGAGATGCAAAGTTCAAAGATAGTTGATATTAGCGCCTGCTATCCCAAAACACTATGCTACCGGGTATCATGGTTGATGCTCTCTACAATGAAAATTCCACCACTTCTCCTCCTATAGCGCCTCGAGCTGGGTTCCTTCAAAGTCCTTCATTCCAGGGCCGCCAGAACTGGTTCCTGAACGTCGGCATACACTTGACCATCGCTGGCGGCTCCTCTTGCCAGTTGATCTTTGGAGGCTCCCCGTTGTTCTCATTAATGGTCCAAGCCGAAGCAAACCCCCTCTCTTCTTTGATTTGTCGTCCGTCTTTCACATTATACGCCAAGCTGACGCTCGGCACGACGGCGATTTTGCCGTGACCCAGCTTCCACAAATCCTTACACAACAGTGTTGGCTCGCCGGTATGGCACTCCCCTTGATATGACCTCCGGAAATCAATCTGCTTCTTCAGGAAGGGCTCTCCAGTCACCGCAACGCCTCCATTCCAGCACGCAAACACCTGCAGTGGCTTACGGCTGAGGTATCGATCCTGGGAGTACGGGTGGTTCCAAAACATGTTGGCCACATCGCTCCATTGTTCTCCCTTGGGTGTTCTGTCGGGAATCGGCAAAAATGTGTCGCCGTTGATGGCGCGAGAGATCCACGAATCGTAGAACGAGGGTTCTCCATTATGCGGCGCAAATCGAAGGAAGTGGTAGTCCATCGCGCAAGTCATATCGGCTCCCTGCGTTTGCTTCTGGTACGCCAACTCTAGAATATCCTCGGTGCATGCAGCAACGTCGTTGAGGAAAATAATCGTCGCCTTCGGGTCGTAGGCATCCGCATCTGCCATCATGGGTTCCAAGGCCAGATTCCTCAGCTTGGCGAGCTTGCCGATACGATCGCCACTGTGGGAATCAATGCTGCTCGTCTGTAGGTGATAAGAAACTCCCATCTGGTCGAGGTGTGATTTAAGGCGGTATAGCGTCTCGTATGTACCATCGGTGGAGATACCCTCAACAATGGAAAGGGCGCAGTTCTCCGGCCCAATGACGTTCATGGCTTCCAGAACAGCTCCTATCAACTGGGGCAGGAGATCTCTAACCTGTCGCAAGTCGAGAGCAAAGAAGTAGTGCCTCTTATCCATGTTCATGGTAGGCCGCAGAACTTCGTAGCGAGTGACATTTGTCGCAGGGCAGTTGACAATAGGAAAGCCACCATTTTTGGGGTCTAGAATTGCCTGCACGTATTGACTTGCTTCGCCAAACTTGTCTGGTCGACCTTCGTAGAGAGCTGGCTGAACCCAGTTTGGCGTTGAGTCGTTCATCCAACTGCCGCCATATTCTGAACCCAAATCAGTACACCGGGTTGGCAAAAGGGCGATTGGCTAGACTTACGTTCTGCTGTCCAAGGAATTACAAAGTATTGGACTAGCGGCTGGTGGAAGAGCAAGAAGAATCCGGTGATGAGAATGAAAACGATGATGGCGATAAAGGGCGTCCGAAGCCGCCTAGGGTTATGAAAATTCGCAATCATTGTGTGTATGTACAGTGGTCGTTCGACGAAGTCGCAATGTGCTGAGTCAAGTTTGGCTGCCTGACGTTTGGCGATGGCATGCGAGTCTTCTTCGAATAGAGCAGCAATAGCAGTTTTGGCGAACGATGCCAAGGGAACTATGAGCGTACGCCAACGAGACTGGATCAAGCGATTATGCAGGTTGATGACTCTAATGCAGTAAAAGAGAAGATGCCAAGATCGGTAACCTGAGAAATGGATGAAGGTGGGAGGAGGGTGGCTAATAGTTCATATCAGGTCCCGGTGGGCAGAAGCACTGACGAAAGCTAAAGCAAAGGCGATCTGGAAGGCGAGTCGAACTCGAAACCTCCCGACAGTTCGTTTCTTTCTGTTTCTTGATCGGAACTCTCGGCGACCCTGCAGGAAGAAGAAGAGGTTATGGCATGAGGGCCAAAAAGAACAAAAAACAGAAAGGACTACTGTTGGGATTATAGAGTTCGGCGTGGTCGTGACCCAAGAGCAAGACAGCTCACATGGCCGGGAATGGCGAGTGCAGCTGAAGCCTGTGAGAGACCAGCAGTTCCCGCCGAGCTCCGTTATAAAAGGTGTTTAGGAGAAGAGACGGAGCCCGAGCGATGCGAGGCGCAGCGATCCAAGAGTCGGGATCAACTAGGATCTTGGTTGGGAAAGGGGGAACGCAAAAGGCATCGAGCGGTAAGGAGAGAGAATAGGTGAGATGGAGGTCAAAAGTAACGTGAATACCTTGATGCTGATGGGACGGGGGGAGCATCTGCTTTAGTTTATGTTGGACAGCACGCACTCGTTGGCCCTTAAGGTAAGGTAGGTAGGTGCCTTCCTTACCTTACGCACGCACAGAGAAAGAAGGCGGAGTCTTGACTCTGGAAACTTAATAACCAAGAAGGAAGAGAGACTCCTGGCTCCTCCTTGGGGCGGGCCAAGTGGTGTTCCTGGCTGTGTCCGGTATGTGTCAACTTGGCAGGATGCGCCTCACACCGCACACGTAGCTGCGGATACCCGTACCGTCTTGGGGCATCTGTAGCCAAAAGGGTACATCCCAAGGCAATAATGGGAAACTCAGACTGGGCTCGCCCTACCCGGATGCACATCGCACTATGTGACCCTCGAAAAGATCTCCACGAGCCAGGGCGGGTAAGGAGGGAACGGACCCAGTTCCGTCGTTGCAATTTGATAATAACCTGTCAAGTGCCCACATGCGAATCCTTCAATGGCACCATGCCAGGTACGGATACTCTGCCCACTTCATCTTTTTTCTTTTGTTTCTTCTTTCCTATCCGTGTAATTCTGCTCTTTCGGTCTCACCGTAACGTATGGAGTATGGCAATGCCTTGTTGTTACTCTGCGACGCTCATGCTGCGCTGTGCCTTGCCACGGTCGTTGTTCCGAGGCCGGAGCTATGTGGCAGGAATGCGTTCTCTGTTAAGGCACGGCGAATACTCCGTACACACGGTTCCTGAGTGAGAGTTCCACGCCCCGTCACAGCTTGTTTCACCCTCTGCCTCTCTCTTGCTCGCAGCCCAAGTACCTTACAGTTTACCTTAGTCCGGATACCTCATCAAACAAACAATGAGAACAATCGACGGCATTCACGACGGGGATGTTGTGATCTGCAAATTGGTTCTGAAGACAACATCATCATGGCCACTGTTCCAGAAGTTAGAACCCCCGTCTCTGAGGTGCAAAAACCCCCCAGTGTAACCCCAGATGACCAAAGTTAGCCAACCAGGAAAGCTAACTAGCTCATTGTGGCTTACCCTGCTTTCTGGAGTCGCCCGGTCTAGCGGCAGCATCGCCCGGCCAAGCCCCTAAGACACGCATCGGCCCCCGGAAAGGTACAATGTTAATTTGGAGTTTGGACAGTGCCATTACAATTCAGTATATGCAGTAATTACGGCTACCACGGGCTACGGCTACCGGTGGGAGTATACTGCGTAAGAATCTCTCAGCTGTTTCGCTCGTGCTCTTGACACATGCGCAAACAAGATGCGCGACGAGGTCTCAGACACGCTGCGCATACAAACTCAACCCAATCAAACTTCGGATCACCAAGAGGCACTGGTCCAGTCAAACACAATTGTTTCCGTCCGTCTGTGCCTCTTCGCAAGGGCCAAACCTGGAGTTCTCTCTCCGCCAATGCAGCAGTGCGTCAGCAATGCACCCTCCTGTTCAATGTTATACCGCAGTATATACATTTGACTTCTTTCCGGGATCGACCACGGCTGATGGTGCCGATCCTCCCGCCCACAATCTCCCGAGGTTGCAGCTGGAAGTTTTTGCAGAGGATTGCAAGCAGCTTTTCTCCTTCATGGGGCCTCCAAGCTACCGATCCTATCCAGTAAGAAGAAGAAAAATGCTGCAGCCTGGCACAGGTAGCCGGCAAGTGTCATGACATTCCTTGTCATACAACCACAATACCTTCTCTCCATGCCATCTAACCCTTGTCTCCAGTCTGCCGAACAACCAGGCGGCATTAACCAGCCATCGACGCGACACCGATCGGCTTTCGTCCACGCTTTTTCTGACGAACTCGCATTCATGTCGAGTTTCCCAGCAAAGCCATTGGCCGGCTTGGCTTGTCCTGCTGAAACTAGCCGTCTTCGACAGTCGAGAGTGAGGACGTGCCTCACCTCAAATCCTTTTGACAGCCTAGGCGGCAGCGGGGCAGTCCTACTTCCAAAAACAAAATAAAAATTAGTCGAGGGTTGACGTTGAGGCAACGCGCCAATTTCGCCGCGGCCGCTATCCCGACCCGACTGGACGGGCCGGCGCAGCGGCAATCAATCGACCAACATGTCCGAAAATAGCGCTGTTCTGTGTTGGCTCTCTAGCAAGAACTTTGTACCTTTACTGGCCTATGCGTTTCACGCTGTGAATACGCAACGGCCTCATCTTTGAACACTCTCTAAAAGTCTTCACAGGTGTTCTATTGCGGTCGGACTGCTTTTCAGACTCGTCGAGTCTTCGGCTTTCAGCATCGTCAGATTGGAAAGCCAGATACTTCATGCGAATGAAGCTAAAGAAACTTGAGCTGGATTGAGACACTAGGCAATTGTACCTACTCGACGCGCGGATTCCGGAACCCCCACATGTACGACGAACTACACGTATACCGGGCGGATCAAGCCTGACTCGCCAGTCCAATTGACTGGTCCAGTATTCTTCTGCCTTGGACACCGGTTTCTAGTGTATTGGTATTCGGTACCAATGCGCCATCTTCCTACGCAATCATATTTCATTGCAATTTCCTGAGTAGCTGGGACTTTGGGCACCGTCCTAGATTTTGGCCGAGCCATGGTGGGCCTAGGCAGTTTGTTACCCTCTACAGACTGAGCAGCTTCGTCACCCTCTTCGCAACGCTCTCCTCGAATTCGGTCACGCCGCTCTGTAGGCGCGTCATGTTCCCTTGTCTCAACTTGTACACAAGCCGTCGTCTGGGTACCCCCTTTTCATCTTCATCCTCTTCGCTGTCAGAGTCCTCGGCGAGACCCTCGACTGCTCCGCGCATGAACCACCGATCGTGACTGACGAGCACCACTGCGCCCTCCCAGTCTCTGAGTGCCTCACGCATAGCAGTTACAGTCTCGTAGTCGAGGTGAGTGGTAACTTCATCGAGGATGAGACAGTGTGGTCTCCGCCACAAGAGACGTGCGAGCTCGCATCGCACAAGCTGCCCTCCTGATAGCTTCCCAAGAGGTACATCGGAAGCAATGCGACCAGGCAGACCGAGGCTGCCCAGAACGCCACGGACTTGCCCCTCATCCAATTCCCCGGCTACTTCCTCCGTGAGCATCGACAACGCCGTCAATGAGGGATCGCCTTGGCCCTTCTCTTGCAGAACATCGACGGCATGCTGCGAATAGTATCCCAGCTTCAGCCGTGGGTGCGCTGTCACTGTCCCTGACGTGGGCTTCGTCTCGTCGACTAGAAGTTTGACCAAAGTCGACTTCCCGGCACCGTTCAACCCGAGGATGCCAATTCGATCACCCATGTGAACAGACAGGTTTATATCCTGCAACACTGTTGGCGCCGCTAGCTTCGTCTTGACCCTAGTCGGATAACGGAATGTCGCATTCTCTACCGATATGAGAGGCCCCGGGAATCGGAGATCTAGAGGTTCCGGCAAGACGAAGCTTACGGGCCGTTCATCTTGGGGGACGTCTATATCCTCGCGGGCTGTCAAGTGATAGCCAACAAGGTCGCGATTCAGCTTGAAGCGGCCGCCTTTGGCACTGACTGCAAGGCCCCATCGATCGTCGAGCTTCTTTTGGCGGGACTTGGCCTGCCGCAGCTTGTTCTGGTCATCATTGGCTTTGCCTGCCTTGATGTTGTTGGATATGCTTTGCTGGATATGAGCCTTTTGCTTGTCTTGAGCATCCTTCATCTTTGTCAACCAGAGTTTCCGCTCCGACTGCGATGCCTCGTATGTCGGAAGGTCGCCGTGGAAGTACGTCAACCCCTTTTCCTTCAGGATGAGAAGATCACTGCAAATGGTGATGAAGTCTCTGTCGTGCGACACGAGGATGAGCGTAGGGGCATCATCCATGTCTTGGAGGGACCCCAGATACCGCTGAAGCCAGATGATGCCAAGTAGGTCAAGGAAGTTTGTCGGCTCGTCCAAGATGAGGATGTCGGTCTCCTGGAGCAGCGATATGCAGAGCGCCGTGCGCATCCGCCACCCGCCAGATAAGCTGGTGACGGGTTTTGACATGTATGCCTCGGAGAACCCCAGGCCGGTCAGGATGCGCTTGGCTTTGGACTCCGTCTCGGCAACTTTCGACGGCTCAACTTGTATTTGGAGATCTGCGAGCATCTCTAATGCCTCTTGCGTCTCGCTCTTCATGGTTTCGGCCGATATCTCATCTTGCGGCTGGTCGACCCTGGCTTTTGGGTCAGTCTCACCCACGCACGGAATTGGATGGGAAAGGAGCAAAATAAAATCTAAAAAAAAAAAAAAACGTACAGTGACTGAGACTCGGCGACCT